ACACAAATGTTTGTCTAGAGTCATTTTTGCTTATTAGTATGGTTGAACTGTATCATCGAAGGTCAGAAGCAAAGACATTGGTTAATAGAATGGGATTAAATACATAAAGGATATTTGTGTTGTTTAACATTTAATTATTGCAGGTTTGTGTCATATTCTGAGTTGCATTATTTTTATTCATTTTGAGGAATACTGAATCTGTGTTTTTTTTTGTTTTTTGTGAGCGAGATGAATTAATGCATATTCATATTTATTTTAGAACTACAGTAACATCTGATTTCTGTCACCATGGGGACAGGAGAGCTGTCAATCAATAAATTGAAAAAAAAAAGTACAGTAACTTGCGTTACTTATTTGAAAAAGTAACTCAGATATTTTCTTGTAAATTAAAAAGTAATGCGTTACTTTACTAGTTACTTGAAAAAAGTAATCTGATTACGTAACTTGCGTTACTTGTAACGTGTTACCCCCAACACTGGCCACAACATATTATCACGTTCCCACGAGTTATTATATTGTGGCCATGAAAAAAAAACAAGGGATACATTTTAAACTTTGAAAAATTGTACAAAAGTTTATTGAAAATTCACTTTACAGAACAAGCTACATGAATGGTTAACTATTCAAGTAACGCATCAGACCTGCACGAACATCCCTGCCCTCCTCCTCTACAGCCTGTGGCACTGCTACCACGGTCTCTGCTGCTGGTGGTAAATCCCAAGCATTCACATAGGCCTCTCCATGACTCTCACAAAGGTTATGTAGAGCACAACATGTCAGCACCATGGATTTCACAAGGTTGACAGCACAGTCATTTCTTTTCATGAGGCATCGCCATCTTCCTTTTAATCGACCAAAGGCATTTTCAACAACTACGCGTGCTCTGCAGATTTTCATGTTGTAGACCTGCTGTTCTGCTGTCAGGTGTCCAGTGTCAATGAATGGTTTTAAGAGCCAGTTCTGCAAGGGATAGGCAGAGTCTCCTAGGATGTAGTAGCCAGCAGTCACCCCACCTATGTTTCTGGTGTTAGCTGGTATGTGGTTTCCACGGCTTGCCAACTCCCACAGTGTTGACAGTCTCAAAACCCGAGCATCATGCAGGCTTCCAGGCAGTCCTGTGAAAACATTCCAGAAAAGTCCCTTTCCATCCACAACACCTTGAAGGATGATGGAGTGCCAGCCTTTACGGTTGAAATAGTCACAGTGATATTCCTCTGGTGCTATGATGGGGATGTGTGATCCATCAATAGCACCAATACAGTGTGGGAGTCCCCACCTGTTCTCAATGTAGGCAGCCATTTCTTTAAACTTTTCCTGATCTGGATAACGAATTTGCTCTGGTACCAACAGGGTTTCTGCTGCTGCACAGAACTCCTGAACACACCGACACACAGTTGTTATGCTTACACCAAAAAGATGTCCAACACTTCTGTACTCAGCGCCGGTTGCAAGCTTCCACAGTGCGATGGCTACTCTTTTCTTTAGAGGTACACACACGCGGAAGTTTGTGTCCTGTCTCTCCATCGCTGGACGCAGCTTGTTGCATACGTGGATAAATGTTTCTTCGGACATTCTAAAGTTCTCCAGCCACTGAGTGTCTGTAAAACCGGGAACAATCACATCCCACCACTCTGAAGCTCGGTTAAATGTCCAAACAGATGGTCTGTTGCGGCGACTTTTTTGCGAAATGTGGAAGCTCTGTAATACACAGAATACGCATTTTAATATGTTATACTGGCAGTTAAGTTCATTATTTGCTTTGCGACAGATAAAAGTTAGCTAGTGATGTGCTTTTAGATGCTTACCCTTGCGCGCCGTCGAGCAAACCAAGTGTTGTCGTCATCTGCATGTTGTTGTAAGAGTTCCCGAACTCTCTTGTATTTTTTAGCTGTGTTTTGTTTGGCTGCCATCAGCCTCTTTTGAAACAAACTCCTTCGTCTTGCAGTTAAAAACATCCACATGCCGAGAATGAAGAACACCATTCCATCGATATGCTCCATTGTTGTGTGTTTGTTTGTGGCACGTTTATGATGTCACGGCAGTAGAGGCGGCGCAACCAAAACGACGTGAATAATCCCGCCCACTCTAAAACGGTACTAAACTGCAGTGGAAACGCAAACCGAGCCGAGTCGTACCACGCAGTGGAAAAGCGCCATTAGGTTACTGCTGATGGGGAGTATCACAATGGGGTGTCAGTTAAAACATCTGGAGACAATCATCCATTTTATTTTCACCAATGCCAGTACATAAGTCATTCCATAGGTGTATCAGACTGGTTTCTTAACTAGATGAACAAAAATATAACTAAACAAATATAAGGTCAAAAATCAATAAATTGCATAACAAATTCAAATCATACAAAATATCAAACAATCCAAAAAATAACTTACATATGTATACAGCCACAACACCATATGAAAATTCCAGAGCAGCGAAACATCAAACAAGGAGCAAACTGCTGCTCTGAAGCAACACTCTTACGCCTGTTTCACACATACTCCGTCTGCAGTGCGTATGCCTGGTGTTTTTTTTTTTTTTACGCACCCATGATAATGTTTAGAGCTTTCACACTGCATGCGGTTGCGGTCCGTCAGTGCGTTCCAGGGGCAGCGTGTCTACAGCAGTGCAGCGATCGCTTACGCGCCGAGTCTATTTTTGCTGTGCTGCACGCGCTGAATTAAAGTGACAGCGCATTGTTCGCGGTAAAAATAAACATGGATTGACACAGAAATGTAGTCATTTCACAATAAATTGATATAATTCAAGTCTACTGTGTTTCACAGTAAACACGTGGCCGTTTCTGTCAGTGGTGAGTTTTAATTTAAAATGTTTGTGATAGCTTTAACGTAAGAAAAATAGGCTGTATGCTGTGTTTAAATGTGTTGCCACTTGCTTGAGCAACTTATTATACAAACCTAGAAGTCAAATGCATGAATAATACGTTGTTTATATTTATTGAGTTTAAACTAATGTCTATGCAAGATTGTTACTGTACTGTGATAAAAGAGCATTAAAATGCTGAAAAAGCTTGTAAATTTTTTTGTTACATTATTTGAAATCAAAATAATGGATAAATGTTGTGTTTGTGGCCTAAACAGCCACTGATCAGTAGCGGACTGCAAACGCATCCTGTGTGAAAGCACAATGAGTCCGTGCTGCTTCTGCACTGCGCACTGCAGACGGAGTATGTGTGAAACAGGCGTTAAAGACCAGTAACTGAAGTCACAACAGGTTGCAGCTGTCAGCAGTTGGTGGAGCTACAGTCACTATGACAGAGGGATTTCCAACAATGCATTTAGTATAGTACAATTAAAATATAATAAGCTGCATCGATATTAGTACAGCTCAGGGGCATTTCCTCCGAGTAGGCAAGGGAGGCAGTGTCTCCTCAAAGTATTGGATGAGAAAAAATTTGTAGTACAAAAATAAAACAACACCCATATTACAAAGTATAACATTAAAAAGTGTATAAATCACTCTTTTTTCTAAAGTAACACTGTCCAACAGCGACACCCGCAGGTAAAGTTACAGCGGAGGCTTGCCTCCCCTGAGCCCATTGACTATTAAGAGAGATCCCATAGCATGCCGTGACTTTACCAGTGGCGGTTCGTGGGTTTTAAAATAGAGGAGGCACACTAA